GCGCTGTCCCCGACAGCAGTTCCAGCAGCTGCGGCAGTGCCTGCTCTCGGTGCGTGCCCCCCATGCGGACATCTATCTGGTGGTGCGAGTGGAGAAGGTGCTGCAATGTGGCATTGCCCAGGCCGCAGAGCCCTACCTGAAGGCGGGCAAGGATCCGAAGCTCGGCCAAAAGGTGTGTAAGGCGGCCAAGAGCTGCGCCCAGCACATCGGACACTACCGCCAGCCGTTTGCCTGGGCGGCCAAGCCTCTGTTCAAGCTCTACAGCCACGAACTGGACGTGGAGCCGCACAAGGACTTCGACTTTAGTCCCATCTATCGCCAGGAGCTGCCCAAGCTCAAGGACGAGGAGTTGCTCAAGCTCCTGGTGGACTATCGCAAGCCGGAGAAGCTCAGCAAGCTGACCATCATCCCGGGGCACCTCAAGATGCAGCTGCAGATCCTAGAGCAGACAGTGCCCTGCGGTCTCAGCAAATCCCTGGCTCCCCTCTCGACCTTCAGTCCGGCTTCCAAGCAGCCGCCGACTCTCGAGCTGGCTGAATTCCAAAACCAAAGCGAAAGGGAGGCCCATCCGTACACGAGCTTCTGCAATCATCTGTATGTGTATCCGTTGAGTCTGCAGTTCGATAGCCAGAAGCTGTTCTCGCGGGCCAGGAACATCACGGTCGTGGTGGAGCTCAGAGATGGCGATGGGGAGTACAGTAAGCCCTTGAAGGTAAGGCAATAGAGAAAATTATGCGCTGGACTACATTTACCAATTATTATCCCCTTTTCCTTTTCCTTTTCCAGTGCATCTATGGTCGACCTGGACATGATCTGCTAGTCTCACAAATAGCCTGTCCCGTACTCCATCATAACGTCACCCCCACATGGTACGAAGAGATCAAATTGCGTCTTCCTCTGGGTCTCTTTCCCGAGCACCATTTGCTCTTCTCCTTCTACCATGTGTCCTGTAATCTGAGCAAGAAGCGATCCGATGCCCAGGCGGCCTTTGAGACGCCCATTGGGTATGCCTGGCTGCCGTTGCTGCAAAAGAATCGCATCTGTCTGGAGGAGCAGTCGCTGCCAGTGGCCGCCACATTGCCAGTGGGATATCTCTCCATACAGCCACTGGGCTGGGGCAAGGGGGTAAGTGAATGCGATCCGCTTAAGCTGCTTAGGCTCTCATCACACTCATGTTTTTGTTTTTTGTCTTTTTGTCTCTTACAAAACTACAACCTCATACCCCCATATCCATTCATCCTGGCTTCAAAACTAACCTCCGCTCTCTCTTTCTCTGTGTTCTCTCTCTTTCCACTGTTGCTGCATCCGCATGCTTGCACCTTCCCGCAATCCAAACCTCTCTGGCTCTCCTATAAACCCTTCAAATTTCTTAGCAGAACTGCGGCCCCGACATCCAATGGATCGACAATCAGCGTCCCTTGTACACGGTGACCCTGCGACTGGACTCCACAGTGCTGACGGCGGATCAGCATCTGCACAACTTCTTTGCGCACTGCGAGCGTCTGCTGGAGGGTGGCAAGACGGGGGCCCTGCCAGCGGAAACGGAGACCTGCAAGATTCTCAAGGCGGCGCACGCCATCGACATGTGTTCGCTGATCAGCTACCTGCCGACGCTCCTGAACGAACTGTTTACGCTGCTGGTGCATACGCAGTCCGAGGAGATTGGCCTGAATGTGATACGTCTGCTGACCAACATCATCCATCTGATAAGCTTCGACGCGAAGCGTCCCGATCTGCTGGCCTCGTATGTGAAGTACGTTTTCCACGCCCCATACTACAGCCAGCAGACGGCCCGCCTGAGGACAGTGCATGGGGAGCTGTGCAGGCATTTGCCCTATCTGCTGAATCCCAAGAATACGGACTTCCTGATCGTCAACAAATTCATGCGCTATTCGGCCATCTTTTTCGATTTGATTGTGAAGAGCATGGCCCAGCACCTGCTGGCGACCGGAAGGATTCGAATGCTGCGCAACGAACGCTTTCCCAAGGAGTATGCGGACCGGGTGGAGCAGCTGATCAAGGTGTTGATCATCTACATCACGACGCGCTACGATGATTTGGGGGAGGAGACACAGCTGCTCAACCGTTCGTTGGCTCGCTTTGTGCGGCAGTGTCTCAGCTACATGGATCGGGGATTCGTCTATCGTTTGATACGCTGCTACATGCAGGAGTTTACCCCCGGCAATCCGCGGGTGCTGCATGAATACAAGTTCAACTTCCTGCAGGAGATTTGCCAGCACGAACACTATGTGCCGCTCAATCTGCCCTTTGTGCTGAATCCAAAGAATCGTCCGCCCGAGATGATGCAACACTTCACGCTCTCCGAGGAGTTCTGTCGTCAGCATTTTCTCTCGGGTCTGCTGCTGCAGGAGCTGAAGAGCAGCCTCAACGAGGTGGGCCATGTGCGACGGCATGCCCTGGCCATCTTCAAGGACCTGCTGGCCAAGCACGAGCTGGACGGGCGCTACCAGCAGCGCGGACAGCTCTCGCGCATCGCTCTGCTCTACGTGCCATGGCTGGGCATAGTCATGGACAATCTGCATCGCATAGATGACTTGTCCGAGGCGGCGGGAGCTACCACACCCAACGGTCACGTCTATGTGGATTCAGCCTCCTACACGAAACGCCTGAGCTGCTCGAGCAGCTACGTTTTCAGCAAGGATTCCTCGACATTTGGCTCGTTGACGTCCACGCCGCGCTCGAAGAATCGAATGACATTGCACAATGATCAGCTCAGTCCGTGCCGGACTTCGGTCCACATGAGGGAGAACAATTTTCTGGCAGCCATTGCGGGACAGCCCATAAGCAATGGGATATCCAATCTATCCCTTAATTCGAACACGGATTCGGGGGTAAGTAGAAGCCATAGGATTGGTCTTATCCGTCAATAAATCTGTGTCTTTTCCTTTTGTATAGCACTCGCAGGACACCACCACCATTGGGGCATACACCAACGGGGAGGCAGATGTGGCCCTGCGGAATGGTCACAATCGTTCCGTGAGCTTCACGCACGCCCAGATCTTGTCACGCTGCGACAAGTTCAGTGTTGGGGAGAGCAAGGATCTGCTGTTGGGATTCCTCTTTATTGTGAAGCACTTGTCGCAGGATCAGATGGTGGCCTGGTGGCAGAACTGCAACGAAACAGAGACCCTGCAGTTTCTGGCCATACTCGATCTCTCGCTGCAGCAGTTCCGCTATGTGGGCAAGAAGAGTGTGCTGCTGACGGCGGACTCGCGTCAGATGCGTGCTACGAAGGCGCACACGCTGCCCGCGAGGACTGCCCCACCCACAGGTCTGGAGAACGGCCATCAGCAGGAGCAACAGCAGCCGAGCAGTGGCACTCTGAATCAGCCAAGAGAACATCTGCTGGAGGACATGGCCAGGACACAGCTGGCTCTCTACGAATCAAATCTGGCCACAGAGGTGGGCATGATCATCCTCGACTGCCTCGGCATGTATGTCCTGCAGTTCCGTCAGCTGCTAACCGGCAGCCTGGTGCTGCGCAAGCTGGCGAGGGTATATTTGCGCTTCCTGCAGTTGGGGCAGTCGGAGAGGCTCTCCAAGCATGTGTTTGCCGCCCTGCGCGCGTTCATCAACAACTATTCGGTGGCCCTGTTCAAGGGCAATGCCATGCTGTGCGGCCAGATGGTGTACGAACTGCTGAAGGCCTGCGACAGTCGCCTGGTGGAGATCCGACACGAATCCTGCGCCGTTCTGTATCTGCTGATGCGCAGCAATTTCGAGTTTAGCGGTCGCAAGGCTTTGACGCGCGTTCACCTGCAAGTCATAATTTCGGTGTCGCAGATGATCGGCAATGTGATTGGGCTGAACAATGCCCGATTCCAGGAGAGTCTTTCGATCATCAATAGCTACGCCAACAGCGACAAGGCCATGAAGGGCACCGGCTTCCCCATGGAGGTGAAGGACCTAACGCGTCGCGTGCGTACTGTCCTCATGGCCACCGCCCAGATGCAGGCCCATCACATGGACCCCGAGAGGCTGCTCGAGCTGCAGTATTCGCTGGCCAATTCGTATGCCTCAACACCCGAGCTGCGGCACACCTGGCTGGTCACCATGGCCCGGAATCACGAGCAGAACGGCAATCTCTCGGAGGCCGCCTGCTGTCATCTGCATATCGCTGCCCTCATGTGCGAGTATCTCCGCCTGCGTGGCACCGCCTGCTCCAGTCTCAGTTGGTCCTCGGCGGCCTTTGGCAAGATATCACGCAACATACCGCTGGATGAGCAGGGCCTCAAGCTAGATGCTGGCGCCCAGGACTCGCAGTACACCGAATATATGCTGCTCGAACAGCTAAAGCAGTGCGCCGATCTGCTAGATCGTGCCGAGCGTTTCGAGTGCCTCGGCGATCTGTACAAACTCATTCTGCCCATCCACGAGAGGGCCCGCGACTTCATCGAACTGTCTAATTGTTACGAGCACTTGGCTCAGGCCTACAGCAAGATTGTGGAGGTCAATCGCTCGGGCAAACGCATGCTGGGACGCTTCTATAGGGTTGTCTTTTACGGCATGGTGAGTGGAATGGTTGCCAAAACAACATAAGTAATAGGGAACCCCTCTCTAATGGATGCTCTTCCTTTCAGATGTACTTCGAGGAGGATCATGCCATTGAGTATGTGTACAAGGAGCCCAAACTCACGTCGTTGAGTGAGATCTCCGAGCGTCTGGCCAAGCAATACAAGGAGAAATTTGGAGCGGATGTTGTTAAGCTAATCATGGACTCGTCACCGGTGAGTGCCAGCACAATCGAGAGATTAGGATAGTGAGGAAGGATCAACTTGTGGCAATTTCTGGCCTCTCTTGCTTCTGAGGCGAACCTTGCTCCGCCAAGGCTAAGGAAGTCCAGAGGCACCTCTGATCTGTCAATTTGCAGCTCTTAATAGAACAATACTGAATGGAAAGATGCTAGGGATTGATGGATAATCGACTAAATATTTGTAGATTGGAGTTGCCTCAATTGGGGCTATGATTCCAGATCAGAATTGGGTGAAGTGCCAAGTACATCGGCGGATAACACTTTTAGTAACGTAAACATAACACGTACATTGCATTTGATGTCAAATAATTACTTGAAGAGATACTCATTGAAGAGCAAATCGTGGTCGCTGTCGCCGTGCATAAGACTCAGCCGCTGTGGATAAAATAACTGACAGTCAGTCGGTCGAGTTATATCTTAAAGATACAGATGTATCTAAACACTCACCCGCTTGACCTCCAACTGACGCATCAACGAAGTCTGTGTGCTACGTGGCAGCATCTTTTTTGGGACCCCTTGAGATTTATTTTGCTTGGGGGCAGACACTCCTCCAGCATTGGTGGCATGGTCGTTACCAGGCGCTTGGCCGCTGTTTGAAGGGGGAAACCGTGTTAAAGGGCGAATGCGAATACCCAAATTAATACCTTGAGACTTACGCGAGATTCGATCGCTGCTTCTGTGTAACCGCAGCCCCAGCACCCGCAGCAGCGGCAGCAGCCCTGTCACTGACTATGATACTGCCACTGGTACTGGTCTTGACCACACGACTGGCCGTAGACGCTGCTGCCACGCTGCTGGCGTGCTGAGATCGCAGCTGCTGAGATCCAGATACTCCCGATTTGGCCATTCGCTGATGGGTTTTGGTGCGCACTCCAGTGGCAATGAACTGTGGCTGGAGCTCTGCCTGCAGCTTCTTGGTCACTGCAAATGAGGGGCTGCCTATGGAGCAGCCCCAGTGCCGCAATTTCTGTGTCGTTGAGGGCACCCTTTCCTTCTGGCAGCGAGCTGCCGGTATTGGAGACATCAGTGTTGAATGCATGAAACACTTTTTGCGTCCGGGGGACTTGTAGGATGGTGTGTTGCCCTGGCCCGTCTGGCAGATGGCTGGCGTGGATGGTGGCCCAGCCATTTCGAAGTCATTCGGCATCATTTCTTGCAGATCTGCGTCGCTGAGTTGGTTCACCAGCTGCAGACCATTGTCATCCTCAATGCGGTAGAGCTTGTCCCTCATATACTTGCGAAGATCCCTTTCCAGTTGATTGCCTCGTAGATCCCTTTCCAGTTGTTTGACGCGAAGACCCTCAGACTCGGACTCGTTGCTGGAGGCGTAGGCCTCCTCTGCCTCCTGCTCATCCTCATCGATTTTGGCGGCTTTCGAAGGAGGCAGAATCGATTTGCGGGGACTCCCAACCGGTGTGGCTGAACAGCTTCTGTGGGCAATCATTCCAAGACTGTGGAACAGCTCCTTGAAGGCCTTTTGGGTGACCCTCTCCTGGTTGAGCATCGATTCGGTGTAGTTGAAGAAGTTGTCAAACACCTTGATCCCCTCGATCTGTTGCTCGATCTCCAGCTCCGTGTAGCTGCGATTCCTGTTTATCGGACACTTGGGCGCCGCTACGGCATCGGTGTGCTCCAGCTTTTCGCTCAGATGATCGTTCATGCGAATGAGGAATTGATTAACCAACACATTCTCCGGCTTGCTGGCAAACTCCTCGGGCTCGTTGACATGCAGAGTGAGGCAAGTGTTGCTGCACAATTCCTCGTCCAGCTGATTCTTGCCACCGACGTACTCCTTGGTGGTAAACTTTAGATTGAGACCCCGGCCATTGGGCAAGAGAGCCACAACTACGGTGTCCAGGGGTATCTGTTCATCACCCAGCTCGGTGAGGAGCTCAAAGATCTGCCTTTGGATATTTATATACTGCATATCGCGCTGCGATATTTTGCCATCGGTATCACCTATCGCCTCACGACGCGACGATGTTGGTTTCGATGTGGACTCTGTCTTCTTCTCCTCGGACTTCTGCTTATACGAGGGAACAAACTCCTTCACCTCTGGGCTCTTATGTGAGGGTACAAATTCCTTTACTTTCAAGCTCTTATGCGAAGGCACAAACTCCTTGGCCTCGGGGTTTAATGAAGACTCCCCTTGGCTTTGGGTAAGGCTTGCATCGTCGTTCTTCAATTCACGCCCGAAGGTATAGAGATTCAGGGCCTGTGTCCGATGCCATAAGCCATCGTCCATTGTGTGGGTTCTTCTTGCAGAATTTGGTTGTCAAAAAAAGTGTACGAAAAACCCTAAATTGGTTGGGTTTTTCGACAATAGTTTTCGACGATGTGTATTATTTAACAAAATTAAGATCTAAAGAAACTCACAATTTAAAAGAGTTCAGTACAGATGCTGCTGTGGATTTGTGGAATAGAATGAATTCAAACGAATGAACTACCATATCATAGTTCTCAAGGATAACTTGGATAGAACTTTTGACGATTGATTTCCTCCGTTGCTTTACAGGTCAAAGTCGATGAATTGGATGCCAAGTTGGCCTACATACAGGTCACCCATGTGATCCCCTTCTTTACCAAAACAGAGCTCGATCAGCGCCTCAATGAATTCGAGCAGAATCATGATGTGAACACCTTTATGTACGAGACACCGTTCACCAAGTCGGGAGCAGCACGTGGCAGCGTTGAGGAGCAGTGGAAGCGCAAGACAGTCATAGAGAGTGAGAGAGCACCCAAAATACCCAAAATAATGCAATTCCGAATTGACCTTTTGTTCTATTTTGTTTTCCTTAGCTACATACTCGTTTCCCTATGTGCTGAAGCGTATTCCTGTCAAGTCCCGCGAGATCATCGAACTGAGTCCCATTGAAGTGGCCATCGATGAGATGCAATCCAAGGTTTCAGAGCTGGAGGAGATTATCATGCCGCCAGCCGATGTGAAGAAGTTGCAATTGCGCCTGCAAGGCAGCGTCGCGGTGACGGTAAATGCCGGCCCCCTGGCCTATGCACATGCCTTTCTGGATGCCAAGGTCATCAATAACTTTTCGCTCGATCGCGTTGGTGATCTGAAAGATGTTTTTCGGTATGCTTGGCAAATTATCCGCGTGCATGTGTAGCATGTACTATAAATGGTGCTTCATTTCGTTTTCCAGTGACTTCATTGGCGTCTGCCACAAGGCTTTGTGCGTGAACGAGCGCATGATCAGTGCCGATCAGAAGGAGTACCATCATGTGCTGAAGGAGAACTACGAGAAACTGTGTCAGGCGCTTAGTGAGTTGCTCGACGACGAGTCCTTCCAGCCGCTTAGCGAAGATGCTGAAAGCATAAATCAGCGCAATAGCATGGCTTTGTTCAACGCGATCAGTGGCGCCTCACATAACTCAAGTACTGCATAAGTTACTCAAACCAAAAAACAAAACACAAAAGTACACGCACAGCTACTAAAAAAACAGAGATAATATTCGTAGAGAGCGTAGAGCGAGAAGCGGTTCGTTACCCTAGAGTGTAACCCCAGCGTAATCGTAGCCCTAAAACTTGTTTGGTGTTCCTTTGTTTGATGTTCTTGTTGAAATTGAAATTTCCTTGTGGCAGGTAAAGCGAGAATTTGGGTTTAAGTGCAACTAACACCCTACAAAGGGAAAGGGACAGTCCATCTATCTAACTATTGGCTATCATTATATAACACGAACCGAACCGAATTTAAGTGTAAGCTTTATTGAAAATTACTAATACCAATTGCCATTGCCATTCTGTTCCCCCTCATCGAAGGTCTTCCTACTACTGTATTAATTTGTATCTAATTTTACCTTTTTAGGATTGTATTTTGTCGAGCAAGATACCACCACCCACCACTACCACCACCACCACCACCAACACCATCCCCACATACACACACAGAACTCTAGACATAATCCATAACCGATTGAATATCCTCTTGTGAAGATTGTTTATTTTTGCATCTCAGTTTTAAGTGACTTTGATCTTAAATCGCTTTGATTTTGATTTTAATTGTATATTTATTTGGATTTTTCTATAATATATGTATTTGTATATTTTGTATGACATACCAAAATCACTGATTAAACCACGAATCGAATTAATTGTACAAGTTAGCCTTAGAACTGTATATTATTATTTTAATTGAATTTGATTTTAATAGTATATACCCTATATACCTACATATAGTGTAACCTGAATCAGCTACTTTATTAGATGAAATCTGCTAACTCTGTGTCTTCTTGAAATCTCTAAATGGCTAACAAATTGTTTAATAATTTAATTATTCCTAAACGTAAATGTATAACTACCTACATAACTAGATAAATAAGTTCCAACAAGCAACAGAACTTACCAAAGTATTCAGATAAAGGAAATAACTATTAAATGATATATATGGATATATATTTACATGCATTTTCTAGTGAAATATAGAACTATAATGAACTAAATAAAAATATATGCATTAAATGTTTACAATCAATGTGTTTATTATTAACAACATAGCAACAATCAAACAATGCAATCAATGGTCGTGATGTACAGAATGTAGCTCTAATTTTTGGTTCGAAATCACAATCTTATTTCGGAATTATTCTTTCAATTGAACAAAATTGATTCGAGGTTCTTTGTTTACGAGTCTTCGAAGTATATATGGGGATGTTTATACCTAGTGTCTCCCAAGGTGCCTTTTTTGGACTTGGTTTGGAAAAATGAGGTTTTTTATTCGGCGTTTTGGTACGTTCCCATATCAGCTTTGAAGAGAATTTGGTTTATCTCAAACTCTACGTGATACATAGTTACCACGGAGTAGTTCGAAAATTTTTCCACCAGATACTGGATGTAGGGGGAATTAGCTCCGAAATGGGACTGGGACTGGGACTGGGTGGGCCCCTGAGCACTAAGTGAGGCAGCCGAAGCAGAAGTCAAGTTGGGCGCTGTCTGCGGCTGGTTAGCAAACGGGATAGGCATCCGCGAGTCGGTCGTCAAATCGAGAGCGACCTCCGTGACCTCATCGATCTCCTCTCTGTAGATCGAAATGGAATCGTCAGCCTCGCTCCAGTCACTGCTATTGCTGAAGTTGGGTGAAGATGCCTCCCCCTCGCTGCTAGTTTCCATGTTGTAACGCCCCTGAAAAGAAACCAAAATGAAAATATCAATAATGTGTGAGAATAAGGGGAGAATCGTACAGCCATCTTATTGTTAGGACGATCCGTTCTATCACTAATAGAGAGCACAGATGGTTGCGTTACTTTTTTGTTCCGATCGATATAGTTTCGTTTTGTTTCCTTAGAGTGGAGAACTAGAATGTAATTGCATAGATGTTTGACATGAAAAACGATGCCACATCACATATATTTTGTTATTATTTTAACTTTTCTGCGGTAGGCAAAGTAAAAGCTGTTCTCGACTTCTTACCCCTTTAATCGCTGGTGAAATCTGTTTGAAAATGTTCGGATGCTCGTGTTGAATGCTTTATGGGTTCCATCAGATGTAAGCCTCAAGTGTACCGGGCGAAATTTTGTTGGCATGTCAGGCAGATTCTTTTCTTAGGTAATTGGATTAAACAGCCGTATATATGTATATGTATGCATATATGTGTGTACATTTGATAGATTTTTTAAAATGGTGTTTTCTTTATTTTATATTGGATTGACTTATTAAAATTATAGATATATGTACTAAATTAAAACTATTTAAAAACTTATTTAAATTGAATTGGATTCCTTTTCTTTGTAGGTTCGTTTCCGCAGTGATTCGAAGGTGCCTTTTATATCCAAAGCGTTGGCTATTTTTGGTAATACCAGGTAATATTCCAATATACCATTCAGGCCTAATGAGGCCTATAGGCAACATTTTGCTGAACCACGATAAGTAGGACCTTGCGGTAATATGTAATAATACGGCCACATATATATTTGTTAACCCATCCACTTAAACTCGGTCCTGAAACGATTGAAATTATGGAATTTTATGGTCGATATCATGCTCTAAACTTTGTCAGAAAGTGGTTCTAGATGTGGCTGGAGGCTAACAATGTTTTAGTACAAATATTGCAAATAGCCAACAATAAAAAGGATTTACGTTAGGCTGGACCACTGGCTTTCGAAATTTTAAGCTGCTTAACCCGAAAAAGCCTAAAACAATGCTACAACTATGTAAAAGAAATTTCGGATTTTTGCTAAAAATTCCAGAAAATACCAAAATTACAAAAATTTATGATAATGGTTCATCAGATCGGTTTAGAAAGGTTTTCGATAGTAAACATTTAATGGCGAACCTTCTTTACCCAAATGAACTCAAAAAATAACAGATGTATGTAACTATTTGGTGGGGTTTTTTTTATGGGTTCAATTTGTATTTATTAACAATTTTTTAAAATTATTTAACAATTTTGTTTTTCATGCGCGGATTGACACTGAAATGTTATGCAAATTTTGCTTTTAGAATTTTTGCTGCGAACAAAACCACAAAAAAATGTTAACAGAATTGGCCAAGAGCGCGTGGAAAGCATCAGTATTGGATTGAACAGTCAATGAGTCCACGAATCAATCAATCAACCAATCAATGTTCCGTCTAAGGCTACATAAATATTTAATTTCATCTTTTCTTTTTTGTATGTTTTTTTTTGTTTTTTGTTTAAGCTTAGCATTAGAATTACGAGTAGAATTACAAGCGGGCGTTGGGGTTCCGGGAGCGGACAAAGTTCAGCAGCTCGTCGGAGTCCTCGCACACGAAGGGCTTGATGTGGTGGCAGGCCACGTCGTGCCACTTGATGCCATCGTTGTAGAAGTTATTCAAGATGGAGAGACAGCTCTCGTCGTTGCCCTGGGCAGCCTCCCGGTTGTCGGGCTGGGGCTGGTTGTAGCCGCCCGTCGGCGACCAGTCGCCAGTGTTGCGCTGCGAGGTGGGTCCGATCTTGGCGCCCGATCCGGACCAGAACCAGCCGTTCTCGTTCGGTGGCTGCAGATCGGGCCTGTCGCAGCCAGCAAAGTTGCACTTCCTGCCCGACGTCCAGATGTACCGCACATTGCCGCGGGAAATGCGCTGCTTCACAAAGTCATTCTCCTGCGGCGTCTCCAGCGACACGGCGTCCATGCAGTGGCGACGGCAAATATTTCTGGCATCCAGCCAGTCCACCTCGAGGCTGCGCGTCGGTGCATGCTCCCAGCTGAAGAAGTACGAGTGCGAAACTCCGCGGGCATCCCTGTAGGAGGCATGCCGCACCCGGTTCGCACAGCTCCGGGGATCGGGCAGGGCCAAGCGACGCTGGGCCAGCGCCATGGTGGCGCTCAGTGCCAGCAGCAGCAGCGTCCGCAGCACAGACATCTCGGGACAACTGCAAAGAGACAAGTGTAGTGTAGGCGATTGATTAGCTTCGGCCCAGAATCAAAACCTTTTTTCAAATCAAATCAGAACAGAACAGAACAGATCAGATGGTCGGGTCGGGTCGGGTAGGAGCCCAACCCAGAGCATTTCCGCTTGGATGAGTATGACTCCCAGCAGGAGGTTGGGGGGTGTGCGACGTTTTTATGCGAAATCAGTGATTGGAAATGTTTTGCATCGATTTTGATCAATTTTGACTGTGTTTTGTGTATGGAATTTGTCGCACACAATTGTCATTTCGTGCAATTTGATTCCATTTGATCTAATTGAGTAGTTTTCCATTCCACAATTAGGAATTGGGCGAAAATGTGCGGGACGGGACAGGCCTTCAACCTTGTTTCTATTTCGTAATACCCGCACAAAAAACGGTAACGTGAGAATTGTTCCCCCATCAACAAAGCCCCATCCCATTAAATTTTTCACCCAGCAACTGCCCAGCAGTCCCGCTTCTCCCATAGCGAGTCTTCACTTTACCCATCTACTGCCTATGCAAATCTGTTTTATTGTTTAATTTTTCCGCATAGAAAACATGAAAATTGTATGCAAATTTTTTATGGTCCATTGGCGGGGGCCACGGCAACTGGTTCTCTCTATCACTCACTAACTCATCAAAATTACATGAAGTAAACGAGCAAGTCTTACATAAAGTCTATAGACAGCCTTTGCAATTAGACCCGGATTGGTTTGGAATTGGCTGATCATCGAGTCTGGGGGAATGATTGAAACGCGTGCTACAGCCAGACAAAAGAGATTTAATTATCTCCAACTAACCGAGCGATTCAGTTGAGTGCACTGCAGATGATGGGCCACGATCCAGCGCTAATGTAAAAGTTGGTTAATCGGACAAAGAATTTTGAGATGGAAAGACTTTTCACATGGCTAGTAGGAGCTTTTAAGATACCAAAAAGTGAAAGACTAAAGACAATGAGGAACCATTTCTAATCGATGTTCAGGAATTAAACGCTTTTCGATAGAAATCAAATTGATATAGGTATTTTGGAGAACACCTCTATGGAGAGTAAACCAATATAACGATGGATAACTATCTACTCTAGACTTTAAGCTTGCAAGTTTATCGTATATATTCGCAAAAATGTCTTTCTCGATTTAAAATCGTATTTAAACATTTTTAAACCTTCCCTGACCTTCATTTTATGGGACCGGTGTGACTGACCTTACCCAAAACCTTGACCAACCAAACAGTAAGAAAAACCCATACAGACCGACCAACTCTGGAACGAACTCCAACCATCCATCTGCACATAGCACCTTGTACGAGTACATGCACAGTATGCTTCTTCAGTACTCATTCGTTTCTAGCCCAACTCTGAAGTCCGCGTTGAGGTGAGGTTTGTCTTGTGCATACCAATGGAATGGAGAAAGTTGAAAGATGGGATGGGATCCATGGTCATGCATTACACATGATGGCCCGAAAGGTCTCTGGTCTCTGGCCAATATATGTACTCGAACGATATATATGATATACGAAACTCTTCCGGCTGATAACAGTCCAAAAAAATGCCTTGGATTTTGGCCACGCGCAATTGCATGGTGTTTTGTTTTTGCCTTTTCACGGCTTGTAAATTTTGTAATTTGAATTTCCGTTGCTTCATAAACTCATTTCCTATACAAGAAAATATATATGTGGATAAGCACACGTTTCGGTTGTTGTTTCTCTGTCTCTCTTGTCTTCCGACTAATTGTCGTGGGTAAGGGCATTGGCAGCTCCAGGGAAATATTTCCGAACCAATTGTCCCCACTTTTTGTCTTCTTTTGGAGCCTCTTCAGCTCACAAGTAGCTCTCATTTTTGTCTTATTTTGTTTGAGTTTTACTTTTTTTTTGTGTGTGTGTGTTTTTGTTGTTGTCTTTTATTACGCAATATTTGCTTTATTGAACGTTTCAATGGGAGGCACTTGTTGTTATAAATTGCTGGAGAAAGGCATTTAGGTGTTTTTTGCCTGGCCTGACTTGTGGGAGATGCAGGTACAATATGACTAATGACGGCTTAGGCCTCTTCAAATGTTGATTTCTTTTATATAATTCACTTGTGCGGCGGCGTGCAAAAAGCAACCTTCAAATCGTGCTCAATAGCCAAATAAATATTACAAAATAACTGCAGCCAGCTACCAAAAAGAGAAGCAACTGAAAACTGAAATCTTTGTAAAGTGAAGCTGAAATGGTTGAAATAATGTTTTTCCCAGCACTATCGTGAACACATCTGCGCAACATTCCGACTCCGAGACGACACAGCCAGTGCCAGTCTGTGTTAAATAATTAATTCCAAGCCACTTGTGGCATGGCTGCCATGGCATCTGCATCTGCCTCCCCACCATTCCACTCCATTCCATACACCCCATACATGGGCAATTAATCTCCGGCTTATACGTACATTACATTTTACAGCACAGCCTTAGGCCAACTGGTTTTTTACGGCTATCTTCTTCTAAGGCAAACAAATTTTTTATTTATGTATCACGCGCCTGAAGCATTATTTCAGATGAAGTAAATTTCGTGAAAAATTGTCATTAGCTGCTGCGAGGGGAACGAGCAGGTGTTTGAGAAGACTCGATATCGAAAGATATTTTTATGCGATAGGATTAGGCAAAGCCTGGCTGAAAACCAGTAAATTGCTCCAATCGAAATTCCTTTTTAAATATTTAATTAACGTTTGCAGATATTTATTTTCTCAAATAATAAGCATTCATTTTGAAATGGGAGAATATAAATATTTCGAGTCATGTAAAAACACTAAAAAAGTGCAGTTCAACTGCACTGAGAGAAAAATGGCCTGGCCCATATTTTAATTTAATAAATATATTGTATTAAATGTCAAGGAAATATATGAAAATATTCAATTGATAGGAAA